TGATCATTGTTTCTCTTACATTCTCTTATGAATCTACATCAGATATCAATATAATTAGAACGCTCTTTTGAACTAATATCCACGCTATTGGTATATGTTACTTTTGCGACTTATTTAATCAATTGTGTAAAAAAAATAGTTAAAATTGCGACATTTAGAATGCACTTGACATTTGAATGTCTTAACGAATAACAATTACTGAGTAAGTCTAAAAGCAATGGTCGAGACGTTTATAATTAATTTTTTCATATAAATTTGACTAATAAATTTGTACGCATTGATATCAGCATGACTAATGTATATCTCTTTTATTGATTTACTCTTACAATTAGAGCCTTCTTTGCTAGTTTATTGTCTAATGTATTTATTCATAATATTTTGTTGCATATTGGCTAAAAATTACGCTGCGTTTACAGGCAGAAATTATTCCTTTGTGTGAAGTAAAATTAGTAAAGAAGTTGACTGAATTATTAAGTTCTGTGAAACCAGTAGAGACAACTCTAAAGGATGCAATGCGAAAAGCAAAGGCAAAACTTCAAAGGGAATGGTCTAATTTTAAAGAAGGGTATGTAACTTGCATTTTTATACCTTACAATGCGAAATAATTGGACATTATTTCTCAAAATTTCATACATTATCATACAAAACGATCACAAAAAAATAATTATAGTTAAAGATACTGTGAAATATCATTATTTTATAAATATTATTATTTATTCCGCTTTATTAATGCACATTTACGAAATATTTTGGTTTTGATCAGTAATATACATAGCAAAATAATGTTATACATCTTCACAACTTTTCATATCTTTTCATTTTCATTATCTGGAGAATTCGAATTACCTGACGCCTTGAGATTGCTACAATCCATGTGATTTATGATGTGGTCGTTGTCCACACTTCTAGTAACGTTAAATGTTAATCACTTTTGTCGAGCATGTATGGTAGACAAACATGTGATGTGTTGTAGCAGTGTGGAGGATCAGGACTCATCCGGTGAGAGTGGTCTCAGCTCTAATTGGTGGGTTCTTGGGACACAGGGCAGGGATCCACTCTCAACTCCCGGAGACGCAACGTTACAAACGTTACCGCAATCTGCCGTATCCCCACTTGGCCCCAAAAACACACAAAAACAATCACAAGTCGAGAGTGAAAACGAAAGTACGGTCAAAGAGTCTAAACAAAGTCACCACGAGAGCCGAGAACCGAGTAACGAACGGCAAAACGAAAATGGCAACAAACAGTCAGAGATCAAAGCGACATCAGGAAGAAACGAAGTTGTGGAAGAAGAAAAGAAACTGGAAGTCAAACAAGACAGAGAAAACGAGAATGCGTCAGACGAAGGTATTCTTTTCCGTCACTTTGATTTCCCATTCGGTTGTCTTATTCTTCTTTCATACTGAAAATAATGCGTCCTTCACAGATGCAAACCAGGAAACACAACACAGTAGACGGGTGTTACGAGCACGCGGCGTCTCTTCATACACAGAACAACTTTATTCAGATGACGAGAGCAATGCGGACGAGCTGGAGGAATGGGCCGACGTTGAGGCAGTGTACGCGGCTCCCGGCACACAGGCCAATACATCCGCTTCTCACACTAATTCGAAAGAACGAAACGTTGACAACTGGTCGGACGAGGAGGACTCAGACCAAGATTGGATTCTACCGAGCTCTCGCAAAAGGAAAAATAAACGTTCGTGTGAGTATCTAATCTTGAAGAAAAGCTATACTATTATATTTTTTTCTCTATCGAGGCTAGATTTTTTATAAAATTTGTTTTGTTTGAATATGAGAATATAATTAATAGCAATTTTAATGTAAAAGAATATTGATAGAAAAAATCGAAAGTATTATAAAAATCAATAAATTTTGTATCATGTAACACTTTTATAACTTTAACATTTGTGCTGTTTTAGCTACCAATCGAAGATTAAAATCATTTGAACATAAGGTACAGAATATCACGGATACATCTCAGAATAATGCGTCATTTGATGTTTCTCCTAATGCGAAAATTGTTAAAGATAAGTTGAAAGATAAACTCAAAGATAACAAGAGAGAGCCTGAAAATGCAGCTCCTTCGCAAATGTTTGATAACAACGCTACTTCTGCAGCGAACAACAAAAATAAAAGAGAAGTGCCTTCTATGGACGCGATTTGTAAGATTGAATCTGTCAAGAGTGTACATTCGGAACTTGACATCAAGGATGAGGGTCCGGTGTACGAGTCTAATCCAAACGCTGCAAGCCAGCAATACGAACAAAGCAATTACGAACCTACGAATCCGCAACAAAAATATTATTATATGGTACCACAGAATTCTGGAATGGTGCCCCAGGGGGCGATCATCCAGGGAGCTGTGCCGCAAGCTCCCCATGCGGCTTACTACATGCAACAGCCTTATGTAATACAGGCTCCACAGGGCAAATATCTACCCCCTACTCAGCAGCAACAACAACAATTTGTTTATCAACAGCAAAGTCCACAGATAATGACTCAACCGTACGTCAATAATACGAATTATGTATCTTATGTAGCGGTTGCAACACAGCCTCAAACAGAGTACATGGTTGCACCTAGGCCGATGATAAATCAACCGAATTTGCAGAATCCGATTCATTGCGCTCTCAGACCGCAGAATAGATACATGCAAAATAACAGACAACTGGCACCGCGACAGAATTCACAGCATCTGAACGGTACAGTATTAAGAAGCATTGGCACACCTGTCAGAAGTCAGAGGTCCACCAATTCGAAAAACGTTCCTTTGTCGAGGCAAAGGCAGAGAACATCACAGACATCTAGCACGGAAAACAGCGGTCAGAAGGTCACATCTCTGATCATGCTCAGTGATAGCGACGATGAGATAGAAATGATCATTATGGAGAAAACGCCCAATTCATCAGAGAAAACTCCAGCCAATAAAGCTAGATCATTGGAGTCTCAAAGAATTGCTAATCAATCTAAACAGAAACCTACGATCACTTCGGACATCACTGTCCCTTCGACAAAAGGTATTCTCTCACCGCAAATCATTCAACGAATGAGCCAAGGTGGTATATCCATCACGCCAGTGAAGAACAATCCGCCGCCAACGACGAATGCCAACACGCAGCTGGTGGTAGTCGTAAACGAGACCGGAAGTCATTACGCCTTGGCACTACCCAATGGCAGCAAACTCATACTCACTCCGGAACAGGTAGCGCAGATTAGAGCTTCAAATGGAGGGAAACTAATTTTGTAAAGCGTATAATTAACTATATTACACAAATTGCGTGTGTCTTTGTTTTGTTTTTTAAGTTTTCACAATCGCAATAACATGTAAATCTGATACACGCAAGTTTTATCTTCATACCTTGTCGATTTAGTCATTAGTCTGTAAAAACAGAAATTTATTGATGAGGTATATCTCGTCATATAACCGCAAATGTTTGAAAAGAATTAAGTTAAAAGGTTTTTAGATAGATTATCTATCTACGTTATATGATGTACAAAGAATATTAAAAAAAATTATTTCTTAATTTTAATTTGTTTCTTTTCATAATGTGTATAGTAAATAATGATCTTAAGTATAATATAATAGTATACTTGAATTAGGAAATTGAGGCCGGAAATAATAGAATTTATATTAAAACTTCATATTTCTTTCATATTCTTGGAACAATCACGCATGTATTAGGTTGAGTAAAAAGTCATCGCGTATTTTTTAGCTCAAAGTTGTATATACAATATCTTCGTCAATAATGAATGAAATTCAAATTTAAAAAAAGGGTTTTAAAGCTTGAAATCTCTACTTTTAAAAGCTTATCACATTTTTTAAGTTTATATGAGTTTGATAATTTTTACATACCAAAAACTACGAGCTGAAAAAGACGAAAAATTTTCTTCTCACTTTGTGGATTTGTAACGTGTCCAAAACGAATTTGAGAAAATTTTCGATTACCTATCGTGAAAACTTGATACTTTCTCTACAAAATCGTTTTTTTTTTTAAATATTCCTACGACTTTTGATTACTGAGTTATCGCGGATTAAATAAAAGAATTATTTTGACTTTAATTGCTCATAACTCCATTAAAAATTGTCGTATCGTATAATTTAAAAAAGAGATTTTTAAAGCTGTAACTTTACTCTATCAAGATATATATTTATATTCTTGATAAGAAAGTAATTGCGGTTTTTACTGATAGATGTCTTTTAAAAAAACGCTATGACTTTTTACTTAACCTAATAAATATATTGCATGGGTACAAAAATAATAAAATTTTCGCTAAAAAAAAGTCGGGTTTATGATTAAAATTGCAGATTTAGTGCAAAATATTGTTATAATATTTGTAAAAAAAATATGAAACCGTTTTTTAAATTTTTTTTATGAAGAATATTACGAATCACATAAATGCTTCATCGAATAAATATTTGTCTGATTTTAATTTTGTATTACAATAAAATACAGAAATGAGATAACATTGTACCTAAAAAAACACTAATATTTAGAGTTTCATATAAAATTTTTGAACTTCTATAAAAGAGATACTATTGATTCGATAATACGCAAAATAATTAACTTTTACATGTAAAATAAGCTGCTTTTTAAAATAATATTATTAGTATTCTTGAACTTCAAGTTAAAAAATTATAATTTTGTTTACATATTCTCAATTTTTAATATTTGTTGTGTTAATGTTATATTAAATATTCAATTTTAAAGAAGGCAATTAGATACCTTTCGTTTAGATTTTTTATATAATTGTCCTTTATAAATTTTACTAATATACATTTTTGTAATTAAATGCCACAATATAAATGCATATAATTTACATGAGAAAATTGTTCTTGAATATCATCGAAATTAACGTGCATTGGTCTACACATTCTATATGAACATATTATCATGACATGATATCGAATATTATATATTTCTCATGTATTAATTATACAGATAACAATGTATAAAAATAGAGAGATATTTCTCTAAATATAAATATTATTTTCTTTTCTCTATCTACATAACTAAGCAACAAAATGTTTTTTATATACGTTACAAAAACAATCTCACTGCAAGAAGAAAGTTCACACTTGCATTAAACCAAATAGGAACGTTAAATCGTTTAACACAAGTATCATGAGTAAATGGTAACATAAATTAACAGCGGATCCAGCCCAATTGAAAATAGGACGCAGTTCTCGTTAATTGGATTACAGGAACTCGGCGAATTTTTCTTAGTTGCATTCTCGACATATAAGATTAATAACATAACTAATGCGTTCATCATGTGAACGTCTTTTTTAATTGCATTAACACAAGGCCCCTGGACGTCCTTGGATATAACCGCTCTTTTTACACCTGATTCTTCTTTCGCGCGTACGGTAAATCTTTATCGAAGGCCAAGAACTTGGACAGGCGTGTCCCGTTATAAGGCGTGTTACTTCCCGGTGGATGAAGCCTCATCTAAAACAAAGGCCATCAGATAATCGTATGCGTGACGATAGCGTAAATAATTTATCCATGAATCCATGATGTAATTTACATTTTCCTCTTGCACTCAACATTGATTAATAATTTATCTGTACTCAATCTTGGAGGACTACGTACCACATGCTCCTGACTTTCGATGTATTCCTCAAGATATCGCGACACAAATCGACGACAAAATAATATAATAAACAATATTTATTCTATCAATGCTTTATTTATATGTAAATGTGATATGAAAGTAAGATCTTTGTGTACATAGACAGATAAGGAAATTTACAAAATATTTTATATTTACAGATTCATGAAAAATTCCATAGTTTTGTTTCAGGCATCACGGAATTGTCGAAAAAGTAATCTTTTTTTATAAATACTTTATAAAATTCTGTTATATTTTTTTATCATTTTTAGATTATTATCATAAATAGATGAGAGATAAATTTTTTAAGATGATGTCCATAGCTAAAATCATCTACAAGCATTACAAAGTAAATGCTGGCGATACGATTGATAATGACTTACTAACATATGACTGATAAAAAACTATATTAATTCGATTTCTCGTATAAAAGCAATAATACATTCCAAAGCTCCGTCAAAGGATTAATGATCAATTACCCAGCTCCGTTTTGCGGTTAGTTTTATTAATAATGTTATATAAATAAATTCCCCCTTGACGAAGCTTAAACATTAGAGAACCAAACTTTATTGTTCCTTATCATCTCGCGTCCTAAGATAAGTGGAAAAATGTATATTATAAAATATCTCGTTATTTTATGAGTGCCTTGCTTGTTTCTGTTAATTTTTTGTTATCCATTTCTTCATCTTGAATACACGGTGCGGCAGTGACTTGCTTATTGCTATATTGTTTGTCCAAAGACAAAATATAACATTATGATGTAATACAATACTATTACTTGATACCGTAACATGAAAAAATGGATAATTGATTTGAAGGCAATAATTGCTTTATCTACGTCGCCGTTATTATTTTATTATAAGTATTATTTGTAAATAGTCGAGCTCCCTTCGATGCAGCAGCAGCCCCGAGCATTAGTATGATGTGGCTTTGATTCTATTTGGGTTTTATGATTTGCGTGCGCATGGATTGCGGTCGTGCAGCATCATTCCCATTCTCTACTTCTCGATGTCAATGACTCTCGTATTCCCATCCGGATTATTGAATCGCTTCTGCAACGAGAAAAAGACCGACACCAATCCGTTACACGCATTAAAGCGTTTTTGATATTACGACGATACAGATCGAATGTTCTTTTCTTTAACTTGAATAAAATTAATTTTTTATCACTTGTATCTCATTTAATTAAAAATTAAGTAAACTTTCAAACTTTCGTAGAAGAGCAGCACTATTTTTGAATATCAAAAATATTGCTCTTCTATGGATTTCTTGAAAGAGAATATTCCTCTTTGGAAGTTTATTTCTTATTCTTCAAGTTGATTTTATCTTAGTCATACGCATATTGTTTTTTTAAGCCATGTAAACAGCATGTTTTCACTTCCGTTTTCGCACGCGTAATTTACCACGATCTCAAATAAAACTAGACACTCACCATGATTCTGTACTTCTCCTTGCAAGCGTATTCGGTCTCATCCACGTCATTGTAACAGTCGCTTTTGTAATCTTCGGGTATCGGACGACCCTCGAATTGGCAGAGCCTGGAAAGCGGTCTTGCCTTTACGAGCATTTTCTCGAAACCAATAGGCTTGTGTTGCGGACAATAAAACACATCCGGAGTATTCTTATCGAAGACGATGCTTTTGCGCATTATGTCGCCGCATTGCACTACAACGAGCAGCGCCTACGACACATACAGACATAATCAAACATATTTTTCTAAGATGTAATATATACATACATATAATTTACAAAGATTTTTCAAGAATTTTAATTACAATTATAATTGGGAAATTATAAAAATTTCAGACGTTGCGGAATCATAAACTATTTTGCTAACGTTTAGTACAGAGTTATTCAATGGAAAGAAAAAGATCGTTCTCTATTTTCACGCCAAGAAGTTTTTCATCAAAAATTGCTGGAATTAATTTATATACAATTTTGGTTAATTAACCGAGTCTTCTTATCTGCCAATATATTGTCGGCGTTTTGCTTTTTTTTTCTCGCAGAAAGTTCCCGCAACGAGGTAGCGTGCAGAGAACTTTCGGAAATAAGATGCGCAAGAAATTGCATTCGCAGGAGTCCGCAAGTGTCCCGCAATTGATGAAAGTCTAGCCACTTACAGCGAGTGCGACGAGCAGGCTGCAGACGTAAATGTTCCCTGCAAAAGCAAAAAAGTGAGTCAGTGTGGAAAAATCAACTGCGCAACATGGTGCACCGTTGTAGAAAAAAATCAAGAAAAAAAAATAGAGAAAGGATCCGGAATATTTACCAGCGGCAATCTATCCTTGCGCAAGTATAAACGTTACAATTCTGCCGTTAGAAACAATAATATATCGAGGATAAGAACACAATATTGAGACCATAATTATATCTTAGAACTTTTTTTATTATTTTTTAAAATCATATTCATATAAGTACCGTAAAAGATCTTTAAATTATTTTATATTTAGATCCTGAATTATTTCTCTTTAAATTATTCTTCAATTAATTAGTTAAAATAATTTTTTGGTTTTTAATCAAAGTAATTGAATATTTTTTCTTTAAATTATAAAAATAGCCTATTAAGATGTGTTCCTCATGTAATTCGTTCACAATTGCAAAATCTGCTGGATGTTCTTTAAAGATACAAATTCGGATAATTTCTTTTCGTCGCAGAATTATAATTGCGATTACGGGTCCCGATAACATTTTTCTCTTCTTTTTTAATTAAATCAATTTCTTAGTACTGCGATAAATAGATCTCTAAATTATCTTTATTTCTAAATATTGAATTATCCTTGAATTAATTACTTCAATAATTTGCTGATTAAAAAAAAAACCAATAAAAATTCAAGTAATTAACTAAATTATTCAAGTGATTAATTAAATATAATTTTCTTTGTTAAATTACAAAGTAATCCGTTAAGATGTTCCTTAAGTAATTCACAATCGCAAAATCCGCCAGTACGTCCGTTAACTTAAAAATACAGATTCAGATAATTTCTTCTATTCGCAGAGTCGAATAATTGCGATCGCGGCTCCCGATAAGACTTTTCTCTTCTTTTTTTCTTTACCTCACGAATTAATTAATATACACGTGTTTCCACACTTTTCAATTCTGGGTCAGCGTTTACTATCTTCTCGCATCTCGCGTTCGCTCACGTATTTTTTTTTCACGGTCAACAGCCAGAGCTCGGCCTCGAGAAGCGTCGCGTGCAAAAACCTCTCTCTCCCGTTCCACATTGACCCAAAATCAATCGAACTGTCTCGGCTTTTTGACATTATCGCGACCCACGAGACTTTCCTTGTCAATTTACGCAACACCCCACGCATATAATATATCCTGGTCTGCGAGCAGTTGCACTGGTCGACGCATAAATTTGCGTCACTGAACCGTCGAATAAATCCCCTCGATTTAAGGCGCAGCTTGCCCTCTTCTGTTCTTAAAGAAGGGAATAGTAATTGGCTCCAATAAATATAAACAGAAAAGAAATATCGCTTCGTCGATATTGATAGCTGTTGCATAATGTTCAACTGCATACATCAAGATGCACATGACGTCTGTACATGACATTTTCACGGCGAGACATTTATCCGTGACATTTCACCCAGCATCTATCCGGATCGAGTAGATTATTAATAACTGTGCGAATCGGATTTAATTGCTGAAGATTTCTCTCGTTTTTCCATTATTTATGTGTAACTTGACGGAAAAGTAATTTGTTCGTCAAATTATTTCTCTTCATCAGTTTGAGGCACATAAGTAATTTATACTTGCATACACAGGAAGTCTCAAGTTCATTGTATCTCTTCTAATTTGCGAACTTTCTACGAGGAACAATATGAGTGAACGAATAGCTTTGTGAAACATTTCAACGGACACTATTTTAAATTAAAGAAAAATTTATATTCAACTAACAAAATAACGAATCGATATTTATGTAATGTTAGATGGCAACCAAATAAATATCGAAAAATCATAAAACATTTAAAAGATACGTTTTTTTTTTGTTCATTTTTGCTTTTTACATTTCAGAAGCAGATAGTTGAAATTACATTGAATTACGCCATATTTCTTTAAAATATTTATGATAATCGACGATAGTATCAAAAATCAGAAGAGATTAAAAAAATGAGAGACTAAAAAAAATATTTAAAAAATTTCAAAAATCATTTAAAGAATTAAAACGATTTTTTTACATTAATCTCTAAACGTTCCGATATAATATCCAGAAATTATTAAAATCAAAAACAATATAATTTCCTTAACATTTATAACATCGAGAAAAGCAAAATATTGAAAAAGTATCTAAAGAATATTTCATGAGTCTCTGAAGATCCGATCTCTTTTCACACTTTCACGTTTTATTTTTAGTATCTGGAATTATTTGGTATCTTGGAATTATTTAATGGTAAAAATTGCTCAACCATGACGGAACTCGCTTAAATTTATATCGAGACTATGACGCGAGCGAGAACTGCGTTCAAGGAAGGATCCAGGATCGTTTTCCAGGAACGAACAGACGAGATTCCATTCGCGTTGACGAGTCGTGAGATTCACGGAGTGCAATATCCGACACGCTCGACCTGTTTCGTTGGTCGGGGATAGTAAAGTGAGAAGATGCAGCCAACTAAGTCGTACTCGACTTACCCATGCTTCTCAAACGACAGGCGTTCGCTCGGCACCTGTTGATCCTCGCAACGCGGCGTCTCCTCGTCGACTGAACACTGAACTGTTGAATCTTCGGTCTTCGTCTTCCCCGCCCGAAGACCGTCCATTAGACAGCACGGATAGTAGCCGACGATTCGCTCATGAGACGAATACTAATAGCAAAATATTGTTATTTTAATATTTCGTGAACATTCGACACATCGTGATAATTACTTTTAGAATATTACAATAAAATTCAACATTTAGTGTACTATGTTGCAATTAAAAACTTTCTATTTCCTTAATTTTTATATACGAAACAATTTGGATAAATAGCCTGGTCTCTGTTGATATCAATCAAGTTTCTATTATTAACGATACCTTGTTTAAAAAAAATAATTCCAATAATTAAATATTTCCTGAAACAAGCTGTGTTAACGGCACAATCCCATCATGAAATCATGTCGCATTCAGGGCTTTGTAGTGTCTTGATTCGCTGCTGAGTACAGGATGCTTCAAATGCGAGAATCATCGGGGAATCGCGCGTTTCATGGATAATCAGCCTCATGCCGTACCAGATCTCTTTCCTTTTATAGGTACGGGAAATGAAATGCCACGCATCATCTTCGCAAATCGAGTCGATGAGATAATTTAAGAGCCATGTAAATCAAAATGGTACATTATAAAAACCAATCTGCAAATGTTTAATTATACGTTTTACCTAACATTTGTCGTGAATTTCAATTGCGCAAACGGACATACAATGTTCATTAATATACAAAAATCTAAAATTACTTTTTTTCAAACTTAATATTAATTACCAAACTGTTCTCCTTTTGGATGAAAGTTATATATTACAAAATATTGATAAAAATCTTCACTTTTTTAGAATATTATATTGCTTGCTTCTATTCAGTAAATCTTTGATCAATTATTAAGCATAGTGTAATGTTCAGGTGCTAACGGATTTTTGGTAAATCGAGGATAAAAGGTAGGCGTTACGTGGGTGAGTGACCTCGTCTTTTCCATATTCGTTATTGTATACGAATACGAAACGTATTCGTCAACGATAGTGTCATCGTTACCCTTGACAGGAGAAAATATACTGAAGAATAAGAACAATTCTAGAAAAAAGAAACTCTATATATTTCTCACTGCAATATTAATATTGCATCCTTTTATTGTTTATTAAACCTAAAACACATTTCAATTGACTTAATTCAATATGTATCTCAAAAATATGTTATTAAATGATTTCTAAATCGTTGATTATAATCAAGACATGATCCAAGTATAGTATTGTAACGTAATTGCCAAAATAATTACTGCCAGCAGTTTCCTATATATCAGCCTGTAAGAATATTTGTATCTTTAAAGAAGTTTGTTGCATATAAAAATCATATATCCAAAATTTTATAAAGCATTTACATAGTATGAGAGTTTATGTACTTACAATATCATCAAAATCGAAACTACACAAATCAGAGATATTGTCTACATCATTGCCGGTATCTCTTTGCTCTTCTTTAAGTGTCTGTGTCATAGGCGCATCATTAGCATCAGACTGTTTATTATCGTCCTCTTGTATTTTACGCCTAAAAATGTACATTTATCAAATCGATAATTTTAGTGTTAAATCCATTTCGAGAAAATTTTTTAATTTGATTTGAATGAATATGCTCACTTCCTAAGCGGCTTCTTTTTCTCTAAGAAAAACAAATTTTTGATTCTTTCGGTTACTGGTTTGCATTTTGCTTTTATGAATTCGGGTTGCTCTAGAAGATTCAATAGATCGTCGGCGATAGGCGGCAACGGTTTATCTGGATTAAGCGCACGAGCTGTTAATACATCCCACATGTGTTGCGTTCCAGGATCCGGCATATATCCCGGTAAATATTTATCACTACTACTAATTGTATCATCATCGGCACTAATATAAAAATTCAATAGATAATTAACAATATTGTATAAATATATTGCAAAAAATATAATATAATAACTTTATTATTTTTAATTTATTGGATATCCTCGATAAATTTTTTTCTTAGAATTCTTTATAATTTTATAAAATCTATATAAT